GAAAAGATTAAATATATCAAACTTCAAAGATATGATTGATCATGAAATTGTAAATGATCCACGATCATGGAAAAATGAATTTAATTTATGGAAAGGATCTATACTCGGGCTATCTCATTCTTTGTTTCAAGTATTATGGTTCAGACCTAGTTTGAAGTGTAAAATATTCAAAAATTTGTATTTTGTTGGTGCTTCGGTACAGCCCGGTACTGGAGTACCAATAGTTTTGTGTGGAGCAAAGTTATTGGAAAAACAGTTATGTGATCGGTTCTTCAAGGATGAAACAAAAATACAACTGTGGTCAAAACGTAATTGTTTATTGATTATCCTAGTTCTGCTGGTATTTTTGTGCCTACTTTTTTAAATTAATTAAAACTAATGATTTTCATTAAAATATTCAAATCTTCATTAATATTGAATCATTATAAACTGATTTTGGTATACTACAGATTAAATCTATATTGGTTAATAAAAATATAAGAAACTTACGCTGATTATTTCAATACTTAATAGATATTATTATGTTGGAAACAATTTTATTAACTGTATAAAACATTTATATTTAATATGTCATTCAACTTTTAATTTTAATTCAAATTATAGTGTAAGTTAATAAAATATAAATTTATTTTACAGAACGTTATTTAATGTTAAAAATTTTAATAATTTATAAAATAATGTTAAATTATTTATTTATGTAAAATATCATTGTATTATATAATATATATATATATATATATATTATTATTATTATTATTATTATATATATATTATATTATATTATATTATTATATATATATACAATTATATATATTATATATAATCAATAAATATATATATATATATATATATTGATTTTGAAGTAATGTTCAAAGCCTCAAGATTTTTTTATATATCAAATAAGTAGTGTAATGGTAAATAGTGATCTGGATCAATGAATTTCCATAAAATTTAATGGATAGACTTTGAACTGGTACTAAATTATAATTAGTATTAATTACCATCGAGCCGTCAGCTTTATTGCAGAAATACCTAATTAAATCAATAGTGATACTTTTGTTTATTACAAAGAAAAATCTTATAATTAACTTATAAAAAATATATAATTAGTTGAAAATTATTCGAATGTGTGGTTAGTATAATTCTATTTATACTTAGTATATTTATAGGTATATGAGAAAATATATTTTCATAATAAAAGATTAAATAGTGGTTATGATAAGTGATTACTTCGTAATTTCATGAAAAATATAAATAGTAATGTCTGATATATACAGATAAGATTTGGTATATACTTTATTCATTGTATGGTTTGTCATAAATATTATCGGTATTTAAATATTTCTGTAAATGAAAAATGGTATTCAAAATATGCGTATGGTTTGAGGAGGAGGTGTGGAGGTAAGCCCCCCACTTATATATATTAACCAATATCTATCGGAAGCAAATACTGCGGATATAATGCCATTTTTAGAGTGTGAAATAGCTATTCTTCTTCTTCTTCTGAGGCTTAAAACAGACCATTTAGGTGTAATGCCGCTTTTACAATACCTCTCCAATGCATTCTATCAACTGCCAAATTGATGTTATAAGTAGGGTCCACTCGTGTCAAGTCTTTCCTCACTGTGTCGAACCATCTTTGCCGTGGTCTCCCTATGGGTCTTTTTCCATTCAGCTTTCCATCGAGCACTTTTCTTATAAGACATCCTTCTGCACGCCACACATGTCCAGCCCATTCTAGTCTTTTGCTACTAAGAAATTTGCAGATGTTCGGTTTATTATAGAGATTTTGTAAATCTTCATTTTTCCTTCTTTCGAAAATTTCTAGGTTTGCATTAAACACTGGACCATAGATTCTCCTTAGTATTTTTCTTTCAAAAATGGCTATGTGAAATAGCTATTCGCCTGACAAAAATGAATGTACTTCCAGCCATCTGATTAAAGAAATTAAAATATGCTTATATTTATAAATAAGTTAATTTGCATTACTCTGAGTCATTTTATTAAGATATTAAAAAAAAAATAAAAACCAATAATTTTTTTTATTTATTTTCCTATAAATAATTGAAATTAATTAAAAAAAAATTTTCTATATGAAAAATATGTTTCGACCAATTAAAAGTAAAGTAGTTAAGAATTTCAAAATTCTATAACTTTTTAAAAACATAAAACAGGAAGAATCTAAACTTTTGCCAGGAGTTTAGATCGGTCTGACGAAAAATGTATGCATTTCAACCCCTAAAAAATTTCTACCGGTGGTAACTGCTCCCTTTACCCCAACTTCTTAATACGGCACTGAATGCAGGACTGAAAAATGTAAAATACACGCAACTCGCAAAAACAACTGGAAGTTATAACAATTACGACTATTACGTACCTATATTCAAAACAACGATCGTGTTATAATGGAAATTTTCATTGAAAATCATCAGTAATGATAAAATGTTTACGCTCATATCATTTGTAGTTTATAGAATACGGTTTTTGAAGGCATTCGCTTTTTTAATTATTGCTCTAAAACGAAACTATATCAACTTCAAATTAGATTTATACTACTTGGAATAAAATGCATATTTTATTTTGCTTTTTTTTTTGGATATTTTAGGTACTTTTTTTACTTTTATGTTACATTTTTCCAATTTGCATTCTACATAAAAATATTTGAAAAATTAATATTTATTTGTATGTAATAATATGAGTTTCAAATCTTGTTCAATCATTTTCTTGACAACCTTTCCTCGTGTGTTCAGTTTGTCATATTCCGTATGATATATAGTAAATTAATTTATATTGAAACGACAATGAACACAAAAATATGCTCTTACTCTGAAAATTATCTACTCAGAATTACAGTTTAGTTTTCATTGCATACCATATGCCATAGTGATTAACAAAATGCCAAAAATTATTTATTAATTTTTTTTTTTAAACCCATTTTTAATGCTTTTTTTTAAGCTTATTTAGAAGATTTATTGCTTTTTTCCTCTGTAAACTTTTCTTTAGATTTTTATTGCTTTAAAATCCGTATTCTAGTAATCTAGTAGCTATTTGGTATTTTTGTCAATAATATGTATTTATGTATAATATATGTATTTAGTCATTCATAGAAATACTAATACGAAAACAATTATTGCTGTGGTCGGCCAAGTATACGAGTAGTATGCACGCGCATGCATATGTCATTTATTTCATTATATCAAAATATTGAAAACCAATTTACGAGTGTGAATTAGCTGCACGACTGACAATTATGCTACTTCTAGTGGTTCGATTTAAAAAATGTAAAGATGTTTGAATTTATAAACAAGTTTACTTTGCGTCGGTTAGGAGCACTTTTTCAATTTTAGTAAATTCTTGACAACATTTGACAATTCATAAATTTATCAATTTTTAATGTTGAATATATAAAAAATATATTAAAATTATTAAATATATGGTCTGACCGATGCAAGGTAGACTTCTTTACCAATTCAAACATCTTTACATTTTTTTAAATTGAATCACTAGAAGTAACTTAATTTTTGTCAGTCGTTTATGCTTTTTGATGAAAAATTTAAAGGGTTTGCAGTGGCCTTAATTGCTCCACTTTAAATGATCAACTGCAACTTCACTCTAAAACACTAATTAATAGTACTCTAGTTTATTTTCTATAGAAATAGGTTTAATACATATTAAGGAAATAAAACGAGTTTTAAACGAAAATAAAAATCTTCTATTTCATTAATATTGTATAAAAGAATGACTCTAAATATCAGCACACACATATGTAGAATATTATTCTATGGAAATAAAATTTCATAATGTATAGCAACATCAAAAGGACGACATTTGTAAATTTGATCGAGGAAAAGCTGTAAATATAAGTGTAAATTAATGTGTTTAACATAATATAATACTTGTCCGCGGTAGAATTTTTCTCAATTAAGTAATAGCAATTTAAAAATAATAGTAATAATAATAATAAAATAAAATAAAATAAAATAAATTTAACAATGAAAAAGAATAAAAAAAGCACAATAACATAATATAATTTATCATATTATGATCAAAAATAGTCATTTACTCTTACACTTGTAAGATAATAAACATTAATAATTAAGCACAGGTAATTTTGATTAAATGTATGCTTTTAGTAATAATCCTAATATTAGGCAACAGTGTTGTCTTTAATTTCATTTTGTAAGTCGAACCATCCAGTGTAGTTGACATTATTGACATTGATGTAATCACTGATGTTCAATATCACTTGACCCAAGACAGGGCTATGCCATGTCTTCTTAGTCAAAACGGTTATCTCCAATTGTTTGCTGTTTAATTCTGCAATACCCATAATATACTCAAAAGTTTCTTCGTACACAGGGTTGCAATTGTCTTTGTATGCCTACACAGGGGTAAAAAATATATGACATAACAATTTTAATTTTTATTTTTTCAGTCTTACTTCAGTTTTACGTTTGGTATTACTGTTATCTTTTTTGGGTAATATGTACAGCTTGACATATGGATCAGGGATGTTCGAAGGTTCTTTAATAGGTAAATTTCTAAAAACAAATAATACTTATTATGTCAGTCATCAACACAGTCCTACAAATAACAAATACGTAATATTATTTATTCTTACACGACTTTGTGTATGGTAACATTGAGACGTTGTCTAGTGACTGAGAATGCTAAAGTTATTTTTATGCTGCCTAGGGTTCCAGTGCCACAAGGTTCAGGTCTGTTTCAAAATGTTATATTGAGATTAAAAAAAAAAAAAAATCTTAGCAACCAATTCTTACGATTCACATAGCAATTCAGTTGTTTCTGTTTGTTCAATAAGTGGTTCTTGATCACCAGCACCACTAGTGGAACCACGAGATATCATTGAGTCTCTTTTTATTGATGGCGTCCTACTCATTGCTTCTGTAGGAGTTGATACATTTACAGGTGATGATTGATTCTCAGATACATCAACTGTAGTTATAGCACTATTCACAGACTTATTTGACTGCACAGAAGTCTGTCTTGACAATGGTTTAGTCACAATATCTTCACCGTCCGTGATATCAACCAATTTAGGCATTTTTTTCAGGAACTATATAAGAGTAAATTGAATGCAACAAAATAAGAATATTATAAATATAAATATAGATATATATTAACAAACCTTGAGCTGCAAACAAAACAGTAGTTTGCTTTCATGATGTTGATTCTTACTATCAATTATCAAATCATAAGGTTGAGGTTCTACTTGCATCTTATTTGCAAACAACAGTTTTGACAATTCATAAACATATAATCCTAATTGAGTGTTAGTCTTTTGATCTATAACCTACATCATTATTTTTAAAAAAAACTTGTAATATATTTACAATTGAGAAATCCAAGTTGAAATACCTTAAACTCGATGGAATCTGTTTCAGGATTGCTCACTAAGAATGTGAATCCCTGTTCATAGACAGGTCTTTCAGTTCGCAACTTTCCTACAGTCACTTGAGAAGTTTGCCCAACTGTAACTCGAACAAATGGATCCGGTTTGCTTTGGGCTCGAGCATTCTATAATTTATCACCAGTCAACATAAATCACAAATTTCAATAAAAAATGAATACACTATAAATACAAAAATATATATACTGGTAAATTGATTGCTGAATCTATGTACACCATCACAATAGCTGAACTCATATTGGTTATTCGCAATTCTTGAGTTTCAGTCAATGCCTAAAAAGTTAAATATTATATGTTCATCGAAGTTATTCATTATTTACCGCTTTTATTACCCTTTTCAATGCATTTTTATCTAAAGTCAATTCTAACCATTGCAAGCGCACATGTATCATGCCATGTTTGGTATCTTCTAAATTGATCCACTATAAACATAAATGTAATATATTTTTAAGTTTAAGAAAAATAATTTTAAAAATAAGATAATTCAATATTTTCTTTACCTTGTCCACTTCACCAATTTTAGCAACACTGCCAACTTGTAATGTAGCTCTAAATTGGAAAAATAATTTAAAGTAAAAATAAAAGTCATACATTTAATTGTACTTTTTACCTTCCTAGATTTGAATGCTTTTTGCCAACCATATCATCTTCATCATAAAGTTTGAGCTTTAAAACCTGTCCTCTGGGCGAAAAAGATGCAAACTAAATAACAAGAATAATATATTATAATAGAAACAAAAAATACATCTGAACCATTTTATAAGTATACATAGTGGGTGCTAGAGAAATAAATAAATTTCTAGTAAAAAGTATCAATTATAATAAATATTTCATAATTTTTTATTGTTTCAAAGACAACACTGGCAAAACCAAATAACTCTTTAATCAAAAATGTAGTTGCATATAGGTATAAAAAAAAAAGTAAACAACCCTCTGATGACTGATATTTTTAACTAAAATATCTTAGGTCCATTTAATTAATGTTGCTAATTAATAATTCAGCAAAGCTTATCTATAAATATTTAATCAATGTTTAAACAAAAAAAAATACTCTACCTCACACCAATAATCCCATTTAGGATTCAGGTCATTGTTTATGGTAGGTGTTTTAAATTGTTGTGCACCTAATGTGACTGTGACATATGGATCTGATTTTCCTTTTCCTATTAACTTCATGTCTTTAGCCACTAAATTTTTGGCTTGAACAATGTGAACACGTAGGACTCCCTAGGAAAAAATATTTAATTAAAATTTAAGAAATAAAAAAAAAAATGTAATTCTTAAGGATTAATAAAATATGAAATATTGCATTTGAAACTAACCTCCGGCTCAGGTAGCTTCACTATATGTGTAGCAATTTCATTACTCAGCACTATAGGCAATTTATTGGGCAAGACCATTGTAGCAGCTACTTGTTGAGAAATTACTTTTCTTAAGACATCACTACAACAATACATTAATTGACGTTAAGACAATGTTTAACATTGTAAAATATTATAAAACTACTTAAGTCCAGGCATGTCCAGTACATCAGCAACACCCATCAAATCATAATCAATGTCTGGTTGATTTAGAAAAAATATCTGCATTCCACCCACTAGAGGTGAAACGGTAAGTAGTGGTCTCATTACTATTCTCATCATACCACGCATCTATTTGTTGACAATTTTATATTATAATAAATGCTTTAGATCTTATTAACTACTTGTCATTACTTGAAAGTCCTTGATGCCACAGGGAATTCCACTCACAAAGAATGAAATATCACAATCACTGGCAAATCTATAATAATTAAGAACACAGAATACATCTAAAATGTTAGTAATTTAGAACTGTTATTTATTTCAATTAATACTTACATGACATCAATGTCTAACATGATTTGATCACGTGATACTTTATCATATACTTTAACACCTCCAATTTTGGGCGCCTAACAGGATAAAAAATGATAAGTTATGCAATATATTGTTTTAATTTATCAGTATGTATAAGTAGAATGACAATGATTAATTACTATTGATCCCAAGCGTAATTTGTCGAATGCAAAATTGTTGATTTTGTATTCACGTAAACTTTCAGCAACCATAGGTTCTACAGACTTTTTGATAGTATTTTGAGCATAGACACTTATTAATGGCCACATTTGCTTGAGAATCTATAAGATTGAAACAACGAATCAAATTATGTTACATTTATTGTAAACAGTGCATATAGTGGTCATGACTGAAATGATAGTGAAGCCAGAGAGTACTGACTTGATTGAGCCATTCAGCACGATGGATGTCTGGGAAGAATACCCAAGACGGAAGCTCAGATACATTAGCGGCGATCAGGTCCTTTTCATCAGAAGTTGCAAACAATTGGGCTCTTCTGCGTCTCACCCGACCGGCCTGTCGCCATCGATCACGAACGACCTGAACACAAGCCATCAGCGGCAACACCACCCATGTGCTGGCCGAGGCTATACGCCAGTATCCGAGCGCGTACACCAGAGCTGTGGTGGCCAAACTGAAAACAACGGTGGTAACGGACTGGAGAAAGGTAGATTTTTCCACCACATCGTCTGTCACCGGAAGAACGTCGGAACTTTCATTATCTACAGCGGTGGTGGTAGCGGCGGTGACGGGTGCGGTTTCGGTAGTGGACACGGATTCCTGAGGCTGTTGGTCCGCCATCGCAACAGAAGGGACGGTAGGACCTTTGGGGCGAACTACTTCGAAGCGGGGAGACGCCAAATATGAACGGAAATCGAAAAACTGCGGCGCACACGACGAGCGTCGGCGACGGATAAACAAACACTGTTTCAGTGTTTTGCTAGCACCGTAAAAAAAAATTCACTGTTGTACCGAGGACAACAACGGCGATGACATCATGGCGTTCGACGGTGTGGTAGGAGGTGGCACGGCGGCGGCGGCGGGTCGGCAGCTACGACGAGGCCCTGCGAACGAGACGCGTAAACGCACCGTTAATGTTATTCACACACGAGGCCCGTCGCGAACAGTTACAACAATGTCCGTACGACCGACGGCCGTTCGACGAGGTCTCATTACGTCGTCGTTATCGACAGCGCGACCAATTGTTATGGTTATCGCCCAGGAGCTTTATCGGTTTTCGCTTACGGTCGACGCGAGTTATTACTGATAACGTTATCTGCCCGGGTTAGACATCGTTATCATCCGCGACCAACGGTATTGTCATCGTTTTTGCGAGCAATTCACAGCACCGCGTCACCAACCTGGTCGGCGATCGTTCTTCGAGGTTTCGAACGTTATTAGTAGGGAACGGATTTATGTGCAAATGGCATATTGTATGTATTGGCTTAAGTTTTTTGAAATCTCATGATAACCGGATTTAGATCGTTCTTATTAAAATTACATTGATTTTGTTTCATACATTTTGCGTATTTCATGCGTAAGCATTCGTAGTTTTACGGTGCATATTCGTAATAATAATAACTGTAATATGAAAAGAAAAGCATTAATCGTCAGAGGCGGAGCTAGGAATTCTTACGACTGGCGATAATGTTAAAATTACCCCCTATCATAGACATTTAATAAAATTAGGGCCAAGTGCACAATTTTTGTTGAGGCCCCTCATTCAAAAAAATCTACACAGATGGGGGGGGGGCATGTTTATAAAAATAAAAAATAAATTTATATGTTTAAAAGTGTCAAATACCTATCTCAAAACTTTTACAATTTCAAAATCGAATGAAATATAAACCCAGTGGTTCTAAAAATCATAGACCAGGAAGAAAATACTCTTCCCTACAATTTTTTTCTAATAATTAGCATACAGATATACTTATAGAGTTTTAAACACATTATCAGTAACAATATTGAAAATATCAAACTAGCAGTCAATAGTGGACTATTATTTACTACGAAAATTATGTCCGGGGATGAAACCCCGTCTTTCTACCCCTAATCCCGCACAGGCTAAAATATATATATATATATATATTTATTTTGACGGTAAATACCGCGGTGTTTATAATTATCAATGTTAATAAAAACCGGACGGTAATGGACGGCACGATCCCGGTGGCCGATGTCCAATACGAGACGGTTTCGTGCCATCGAAAACGACGACGATGAATTACAATAATGACTTTCGCAACAATATTACCATTACCGTACTGGTAGAAATGAAAAAAAGTAACCGACTTACCCTTGTTTCTCGAGCGGCAGTGTCCGAGAGATGGGCGTCACACAGTGCAGTAATCGTTTAAATGTTTTCGTGTCAGTCGTCACTCCGCTGCGGAACACAGTGCGCCAACTTGACCTTCGCTAATTTTAGACGGCTAAACGTAGCCTCCGATTTTCGACGGAGGGGAGTGGTGGTGGGGTGGACGACGGGATCGTGAGGATCAATGCCATTTACGAAAAGATTTCCGTTGCCGTCCCTTCATTAATCACAACGTATTGTGGCACTATAAAAATAATAGTACCATTGGAAATCTGAGTGCGAAGTTAACCCGAACGATTCGTTTTTTTAAAACTAAAAAAAAACTATTCTTCTTTTTTTTCCTACACAAGTGCTAACATATAGACCGACGCCGTCGATGTTACGGTATACGATGTCTCGTTTGATTGTTTTATTTATGCGCAGACGGTTATCGTCCTTAAACTAAAACTGACTTAGGAGTGGAATCAGAAGTCGACCTTGCGTTTCATGTGTCTTACTATGATTGTCAGACGTTCTTGTTGCGCCCTGTAAATACACAAGTGATAACTTGTACTTACGACGTCAAACCGATATATTTTTAACGCTGCTCCATAATAGTACACCTCTCCACGCAGGTAACTAACCACTCGAGACACGTAGGCGATCGCTAATAATTTATTCGAGAATTCGTACAGCAATGAACTAAATCGAATCGTGTACGTACATTATATACTATAAACGCAAAATGTGCACGTATTATTGTACTCAAGATTATTTTTTTTGTTTTCTAAAGGATCCGGAGTAGCTTATTGGCAGAGAACGTTGACCTCAACAGATCAAAGAAAAAAAAATATAAATAAATAAAAAAACAATTAGGAATAATAAGTATAAAATTAAATTAATGTGCTGTGTATCCAGTCTGTCCGGTGTATCTCCTTCGTCGGTTTTCGAAATCGAATGTTCTATTCAATATGATACGACAGCCAATAAATAGGAATATGTGTACGACTTGCGCAAAGTATTTCAGATCTCTGTAACATTTTCACGATTTCTGAAACGGCGGTATACTTATATGGGCTTCGATCGCTCAGTCTTTTGAACTCGTCGTGCCTCCAGGTACACGAACATCATTATAATAAAGGCAGTTGGCACATTACCGCACATAGTTTGATAAGTAGCCAAAAAATATTCGTTAGAATACTTACACCGGCACTGACATTAAGATTAATTATGTACTTGCACATAGTACATGTCTGGATTAATGGTGAAATTAACCTAAAGCTCCTCTCCATACAATAAACGATCATTTTGTCGATTTGCTGACAAATTTATGATTGACAGATAAATTGATAGGTGTATGGTAATGTTTGCCAACAGTTAAATTTATTGATAAATATTAAGTTCATTATTTAAATACATCGATAACTGCACAATTCAAACAACATTTTTATTTTTATTATTCCAATAAAGTTGATTACAGTATTTGATTTATAAAGTATTTTATTTTTGTTGATGAGTAATACATACTAATTACCCAAATAATTGTAATACAGTACCTAAATGACTATAAGAGGTGCAAGGGTGAATACTCCGTAGATCTGTGCAGCCTATATAATTTTAGCCCCCAAAAATATTTTTTCAAATCGTGCCTATGGTCTTACCCATATATGAATATATACATCAAATTATTTATATATATCGAGTTAAAATGTCCAATGGGGACATAGTATGTTATACATTAAGATAATAACGTATTATGCCCTATTTCGATCAATTAATCGATTAATTCGATCAATATAGTCTTCGTAGAACTTTGGAAATTAATCCGAAAGAAACAGAGTAGAACAGATAGTATTTTAATGCTAAATTACACTTCAATTATATTTTTTAGGTTCGACTGTGCGAATGTATAATATAATCGAATATTAATTATATTTCCGAAGAGACTACAATGTCTATAACCCGATAAACGTTGGGACTTGTCCCAACTCTCAAACACATCTACAAGTACAATAGAAGTTTGAGGATAAAATGCTATGTGGAAATATAGGTAACACTATACTTACACTATATACATATAGTACCATAATTTATTAAAATATGTACTTTTTATAGTATTATATATGTTATCGTAATTTATAATTATATACTATAGTAAATATGTATATTTGATCCGTAACAGGTATCTGTATGTATGTATACCTCAAATATTATATAATAATACATAGTGTATAAATAACATATAGTGGCTCCCTTGAATGTTTTTCCGCGAGTGCCCTTGCTTTCGCTCATTATGTATGCACACCTTTAATTATTAGATGTTTACTGTAAAACGTCCTGTATAAAAATACGATTATTATGATGTGGATGGGTACTGTATACAATTAATCCATTAATGATAAATAATGTTAAGAATATTCGTTTTCCGAAATTAATTATCACGTTTTAGTTTTTCTGAAGTAAAATATAAAAAATGTTAAAATATTGTTGTGGCATGCAACAGTAGAGTTGGTTTTATCTTTAATGCTGAATCTACAAACAGAAATTGGAAAAAATATGTTTAAAATATAATGCACACGATTTAACCATAGTAATCAAAATCGTTTTTCTGTTTTGAATAGTAAACTATTTTACTACTGACTTTCACAGTATACACAAATGATATTCTATTATACAGATTTTAGTAGTCTTATCGTGTGTAACTATTGAAGCTATTATGAAGATTCGATGTAATTGTGTGCACTGTATACATTACGCGCAGTATTCATTTTATAAACGTGTGGGCGTGTAGTAACGAAAGAAAAAACAAGTTGCGTGGTATGCACATTTACCAAACATATTAAATACATTTCAATCTCGAGTTTGGTGTTTTGTATAAAACGATACAGCGCCTTCTGGCATCATCATCGAAACTATATTATATATTAAAAATTAAAGGCTCCAGGCTATACTTAATACTCATTAATAATCATGCTATTGAACAGCTACTGATAATTTTTTACAATGCATTTCTAAAGTATAAAAATAATAGTATAATTTGAAATCAATACTTCAATATTTCCAACGGAAATAATAGAAAACTTATAAATTTGAAACTTTTAACATTTATTAATTTTAATATTTTATTTAAATTATATTGGTATTTATAGTATTTTTAGAGACTATCTACAGATTTTTTGTTAACTCAAACACATCAATACATTTTTTATATATTATTTATACTTATTTTATCATAAAAGATGATAACGCCCGTAAGGTAAAGAGTACAGATAACAAACTACATAATAACAGAATACATAATGTAAGATAGTATAAAGTAAAAGAAAAGAAAGAAAAATAAAAAATTATGTAAGAAAATGATTATTTAAAATAAATATTGGATATAAAGATTATACTGGACATGTTCTCATATTATTTTATATTACTATATATTCAAAAATCTACAATTATTTTATACGTGATTAATGCTTTCTATTTATAATAAATAATAAAATATAATTTACTGTAAAATTACTGTTGTAATTTGGGTATGTATCAGGTGATGATAGTGTTCTTCAATTTTTTAATAGCAACTCCAATAACAATTTTGTGTTAGAAACACTTTTTAATAGTTCCAAGGTTTCATTTCTATTTTTTTTTCAATGTGATTTTATTTTAATTTGAATTTAATGTTTGTTCATTGATTTTGTTTACAGGACAAAGAAAAATATGTACCTAAATTATGGCGTTAATTGTTAAAATAATATTATGTTCTCACTATAGACTTGTTTACATGAATCTAGCAGTCCCTAAAGTTTAATATAAATTATACCCATGAGTAAAATGTATTAATTGCACGTTTTACTGTGATAGTCGATATTCATATTAGGTACGTTTGCCATTATAAATAAACCGTTTTTTATTATTTCTAATTAAGCGCGGTTTATTTTGAATTTTAGA